GCCGCCATCCACGGGCAGCCCTTCAGGTATTCGAATTTGATCTGGTTGGTTAGCGGGGGGAAATTGGGGTGCGGGACTTAGCTTCGTTATTGAGGTTTATAGGGTGTTCGTGACCTCGGATTAGTGAAAAATTTAAATAAATGTGAAAAATAGCTAATTTTCCAATTTCTGATTAACGTCCACATTTTACAAATTTGTAAGAACTAATAACGGGGTCAAATACTGTCAGGGTCCCCGCTAACGAACCAGCGCCTATTTGACGCTCCCAGCTGCCGTAGCGTACCGATTTTTCAGCGAGGAACACGGTGGTCTCTCGTGGATACGGACAAATTTCGAGACGAGTCCCGTCATGTCGTCGTATATCGTCGCTCTCGTCATCCATGACTTTGGCTACGAATCGGTTATTGCTTCGAATAATGTGAAGGTTGGTCGTGGAACAAATTTTGTTAGCTTTCTCTCTCTCTCTCTCGCTCTCTCTCCAGCATACAGTCTCTTGCAGATCGGCATCTATGCCCGGAAAGAGGCCATGTCACACACAAAAACGGCACTTGACGCGGCTGCACTGGCCCTACCAGAAATCGAACGCCTAGTCGGAGTCAAATACCCACTACCAAAGCTCGGTAGGCAATTTTAGGCAAGCTTTGCTTTGCGCAGCCGCAGCGGCGCGGTGTGCAGACACGGTAACCCTAACCCGAAGCAAACCAAGCGGCCGAAACGAAATTAAGCTTTCTCTTCAGACATCTTTGCCATCCCCGACTTTTCCGCCGGCGCCATGGAGAACTGGGGAATCATGACGTTCAAAGAAAGGGTGCGTTGCCGTACAATGCGACGTTTTGTTAATGCGACTTGAGTTTCGGGACCCGCACTATGTTGTGCGAGACTGAAATTCCCGTTCCAGCTGTCGCTCTGCCGTGATCCTTGCCGCGACCCAAGCGAAATTCGAGAAGTGATGGCCCACGAGATTGCTCACCAGGTTCAGCACTTCATTTACGATACTTTCTTGGCTAATTGAAAATGCCGAATTTTTTCGGCACTATGAAATTTTTCAATACGCACTTCAACATCGCGGTCGTATCTCGATTTTTTTAGTGGTTCGGTAACCTGGTGACGATGGAATGGTGGGGAGATTTGTGGCTGAATGAGGGCTTCGCCACCTTCATGCCAATGTTGGTCGAACGGAAGAGACGGACCGGTGATGACGGGTCGAATACGTTTGCTACACTCGTACGTATTCCTAGTCTTTCTAGTTCACCGTCAGGCTGTGGTTCAGTTTACCCCCCTCCCCTCTCCACCGGTCTCACCTACTGTACCTCGGCTCCATGTTGGTCTACAGATGTGTAAGATATACCAAAATACGCGCTATAGTAATTCGAACAATTTGGTATACTTTACACACCTGTAGATGAACAGAGAGCCGAGATACAAAAGTTGGGTGGGTGCCGGCCGGGGGGGCAAACCGAACTCTAACCTACCGTAATTTTCCCGGCACTAGAATCATGCCTCATCGCCGGGTGTTACGGCAACCAAGTAGATTTTTAGGACTATGATGCGATTGCCGGCTGGTATTGGAAGATTGGCAGCGACCAATCGTTCCCCCTCAAGCCGATCGTCATTGGGAACGCGACGCGAGGGGACAGGAACTACAATGTACGGCCGAAGCCTAAGCCTAAGCATTATTAGCCTAATCTAACTATAAGCCAAAGCATAAGTCTGAGCCTAAAGTTCTCCAGTTTTTCGACACACTCCATCGCATTTCTAGCGCGAGCCGACCACCAGCTACGCGTTGACCGACATGTTTGGTGGATTGACGTACCAAAAAGCGGCTTACGGCATCTACACGATGTACGCGACGCTTGGCGAGAAGCGCTTCTTCGCCATGGTCAAGGTGAGTGGCGAGATTTGTAGTTTGTAGAGGACTAAGATGACCAGAATCTCCCCCCCTCCTAGGCGTACCTCGAGAAGAACAAGTACTCGACGACCTCTTGGCGTGATATTTGGATGGCGGCGGATGAGGAGAAGCATGGGCTGTGGCAGCAGGCCGTCCAAGCTCACCTGGACCACATTTTGCTGGTGAGCCCATATCTGGGGGGAGGGAGGGGGGGGGGTATTGAGACACCCTGTAATTTCAGCCGGGCTACCCCCGAATCGACGTGGCTCGGGTTGGCAAGAATCGATACGCAATCACCACCCATCGTCACTGTCTATCGGACGAGACGATGCATGCCGACCGGATAAATGAGTCGGTATCCCAAAACTTCATTTTAAAGGGATGGGTAAGGCATCGGTTAGGTCTCCACGGATTTTGTCGTCCTAATGATACGCGCGCGCCGCATGATTAATATTGCTAACGTATGACCCTTCACGCCGCGTGCGTTGCGTGTCAAGGGCGTATCGAAATCCGTTAGGAGTCGACGGTTATTCCTGGAAGATTAGTTCAACTGGCCTCCGTTACAGCACCTGGCGTATTCCGATTCAATACCCGGGACAGAAGGAGCTCCAATTTGTTCCGGCTAATGGTCGGTATTATGCAAAAATTTCGGCGGTCTCTATCTACCTCCCTCTCGCTCTCAACTCTCGCTCTCTCTCTCTCTCTTTCTCTCGCATAATGTTCTAGGCCCCCTCATCATCGAATCGGACAAGATCCCCTTGGTCAACCACCAGCGCCTCGTCTACGCCCGCGTCAACTACGGAGACCTGTGGCCGGAAGTTTTGCAGCAAACCAAGACTGAGGTATTGCGTTCTTTCACTATCATGTGCCTTTAGCCCCAAGACATGGTGACACCACGTTCTGTCATCTTCAGTGATTTGTTCCCGATGGCCGCCACCGGCGCTGTGCCCTATAAATTGGTCCTCGAAATGTTGGAAACCATGGGACAGGTAAGGCATACTCGCGAACTGTCAAAAATGTATTTGACTTTAGAATCCGAACGCCGATCCTGATCTGATAAGAGGGTTCTGGAATATCGAAGAAAGACTTCGTTCCAATGGGCCGACACGCCGTATGCTCGAGATCCTGAATGTGGGCTTCCGGGGAACAATTATCCGATTTTTCAGAATGCCAGTAGCTACTACAATGGACTGGCTTTTCCTTCAATCCCGCTCAACTCTACGCAACGCAAGTCAGTGCTTACGACGAAACCAAGCCCAATCTAACTCGAAGCCAATCCACCTTTTCGGGGCTTTGACGTTAACCGGGGGAAGGGGCTGAGCCTAAAGTCCTCCAGCTTTCGACGCTTTCAACCACGTGGGAAAGTTCTCATAACCGATCAAATTTAGGCTGAAAATCGCTGCAGCCCGCCAACAACAACACCAAGACCAGCGTTATTCCATGGAACAGCAGGAGTTGCTCGACCTCTTCAAGGAGTACGTGCCATGTCTAAACTCACAGTCCTCGCCCTCCTAGATTGGACGATCAAGCTCTGAGGCGGAAGCTCGGCATGCCAGTGGCCGACGAGGGCGAGCCGGCTTGGCGTGTCTTTGAGAAGCTGGTGATCGAGGCCTGTCCCGAGGGGGTGATGATCAGCAAGTGCAGCAAGTATGGCTCTATGCTCGATCCCGTAGTCTTGCTTCAGATACGCAGCATCGGACCGTGCGACCGGCTACGTGCGCGCCATAGAAAGTGGCGACGATGAGAGGAGGGAGAAAACATCTGCTTTCATGTGGAAATCGCTGGAAATTGAGAGTAGCGTCTAGAATAGCAAAAAACCTATAAATATTTCTTTTTTTAGCGGACCCAACGGAAAAGAAGGCCCTTGCTAATGCCATCATCAGATCCAAGGATTGGAAATGGGTTGAACGGTGAGAAAGACAGTGAGAGATAGAGAAGAGAGAGAGAGAGAGAGAGAGAGAGAGAGAGAGAGAGAGCGAGAGAGCGAGACACAGGGTTTAGGCTCAAGCCTCGCTTAGATCCGCTTTTTAGCCTTCTCGATGCTCATATCAACAATGCGGGCCTGACACCACCCGATTCGACGACCTGGTATGCCGAGTTAATCGGAGGACGCCAGGAAACATTCGACTGGCTCTACAATAATATGTCCTCCATTGTCAAGAGGTATTTATACCTATTTTACCTGGATTATGATCGATCACTAATTAACAGCTACAACGAGTCCTCGGAAGCCCTCAAGGAACTCATTGAGACAGCTGTCGGCAAGTTCCAGCGCAACGAGGCACTGCCCCTCCGGGTATCTACAACCTCGCCTGAAAATAGTTTTTTCATGTCCAGGTCGCCCTGCTCCAAAGCCATCCGGATTTGCCGGAAGCGCTGCGCCCACTCCGCTTCTGGTACACCGTCCTGGAGAATCAGCGCATCGAGGCCGCCTGGCACAAGAAATATTCGGTAAGGAATTGGACGGGATAGCAGAAATGATTGCGGAATCGCCGTAAACATGACTCCTAGGCCTAGATTTACGCCAAGCCTCACTCTAAGCCTACGCCTATTCCTAAGCCTAAGCCTGTGCTTAAACCTAACCTAAGCCTAACCTAAGTCCAAGCCCATGCCTAAGCCTACACCTACGACCGAGCCGACTCAATATCCCCCTCTCTTCCAGTTCGAGCTGCTCGAGGCGTTCGCCAAGCTTCCGCAGCAGAAGGAGGCCTGACCGGCCCTGCTTGTGACGAGGATCCGGATTGATACCCCCACCAATCCATATTTCCCCTGATCCGTACCATGACTCTGTATGGCCAATCCAGCCCACTTCGTTTTTTGGGTCTTCCGGGTCTCCTCGAATAAACGGATTGCGAGGTCGAATTTGAAGTAACAGGAAAATCGGCTAGATCGAAGAGGAGATACAGAGAGAGAGAGAGAGAGAGAGAGAGAGAGAGAGAGAGAGAGGAAGAGAGAGAAAACCGCGCTCCATGCATTCCAAAACACTTTATTACTTAAAAACACACCACTATGTACACACCATGAAATTGCGAGATGAGATGATACGAGAGGAATGAGATGCATTTTAGGGCAGTACATGTAATAAATTTAGGATAGAGCAGCACCGTATTTACATGGGTCGGAAGACGTAGCAGGTGACATCACCCGTTGATGCCTGGCAGTAGGTGTCCGTGTAGGCGACGTAGCTGAAGTCTCCGGCCGCGCAGATGACGTTGAACTTTCCTGAAAAGGCGGGAAGGCTGCATGACAATACCCTGGACACCTACCAAACAGTCGGGCCTCGGCCTCACGCTGGACGGCGCGTTTCGACTCGCTCGGGTCGTTGGTCATGAACTGAAAAAGTTGGGGTGGGAACAATTTGAAGAGAAGCCGCCGCAACATTACGTTACGATACGTTGAAATACGCAAGACCCACCTCCGATAAAACCTGCTTCAACTTCTTGCTCGAGCAGGTCGGGTCGAGCTCCTCCTCTTCATCGTGGCTCCCCAGCTCGAACAATTTCGAGCCCATCGTCCGTGCGCGGCGGGCCTAAATGAACATTTTTTGTATCAAGAAACTCGACTTCTCAAACCTTGAATGCACATGGGGTACCACATCTACAGCAACAGTCGTTGGCAGGTGGGGCTACGTACTAAAAAATTTTTTTTGCTTGTCAGGTTTCTCTAAAGGGACTCAAAGGTGCCGAAAGGTACCACATGGGCTGACTAGGTGTCGATAACTACGCGATGCTTCAAGTAAGCCTTCGGTTTGGAGGGTTACTCGGCGCCTCGCGTAGCTGTCGACACCCAGCTGCCGGAAGGGGTAGATTCTCGTCAATCTCATGAAAACTGTCCTACCTGCGGCATTGGCGGGAGCATTGGTGGTGGGGGAGCATAGCTCATACAGGGTGGAGGTGGAGGTGGACACATTGGAGGAGGAGGAGGCGGGGGAGGTGGTGGACACATCGGAGGAGGTGGGCAGAACTGAACATTGGATTTTAAGGGCTGATAAGGCTTTCTTTAACCCTAGTCTGAACTCGCAAACACTTTTCTGACGCCATTCTGTCACAGCACCCCAATTTTGCCTTCCCCATTCCTTGAAGCATACCTGTGGTGGACATAGCGGTGGTGGAGGGCATGGAGGAGGTGGCGGTGGACACATTGGAGGTGGTGGACAAGGCATTGGAGGAGGTGGCATATAGGCCCCACCACAACAACCACCAAATGTCGCCTGGATGGGTCCCGCAACGATCGCCAAAATTAAGACGGTGGACAGCATTCTGGAGATTATTGATGTTATAGAGCCAAAAACGATGATAAAAATGAAAGCACATCTAAATAAATAACTTAAAGTATCTTAAGAGGCAAAGTTACTGTAGCTAAAAATGCGCTGTTCCGCTTCACTCCTCTGGACACCCAACCCGCAGTATTTGTACCCAATCCGAGAAGCGGACGGAGGGATTGTTGCTGTTATGCGTCAAGAGAGAGCGAGAGAAAGCGAGAGAGCGAGAAGCGCGAAGGTCAAACCCCAAGCTGACTCATGCTCCACCCTCTTTTTCCGCTGAAAATGGTGGACGACAAGGGTCGGAATGATGGGTTTTCCATCCCTCTACTACCCTTTGTGACGTCACGAGAAAGGCAGCATTTTCAAGGCGTTTTTTAGGAAAATCCTGAGTCATAGTGCCCTCCAAAAACCTATCAGCTTGCTGCGAATATCTATAAAAGGTGGGAATTCCCTCTGTTCCAAGCGCGTCCAATTTGCACACTAGATGCCGACGATCTGCCAGTGAATAACGAGCTTATTCGGCGTTTTAAAGGGGCTGAGAAGTGCTAGAATTCGACCCCTCTCGGGGACTAGGTGTCGGCGGCCACGTAAAACAACCAATTCGTTTCAGAATCAACTACTACGCGTAAATGTCGAGACCAAGCCAACGGAAGGGTTCTTTCAAAATCACAAAGGATTCCTGCTGGCTTGCCCCATCCTGGAGTAAAAGAAAACGGAGTAGTTCGTTAGCGAGGGCCTCCCATTGAGATAAGGAACCCCCTCTAAACTCCCTCCCCCCAGCTAAGCAACCAGAGCCAGGGAAACAACAAATCAAAAGCCTTGTCTTAATATCGGAACAGAAATTGGGCAAAATGAAATGAATGGGGCAGCGGGTGGACGACGGGCATTTGAAGGTCATCCCGAAAAAGGGATGCCAAAAAGAAAGGGTGGTGAGAGAAAGGGATGAAGGATGGAATGATGACCACAATAGAATCGGCTGCTGGGGGAGGCTTTTCCTTTTTTGGAGACTGTAGTGAGGAATGTCCCGTAGGGGAGAGCGAACAGACAAACAGACAACCGGGAAGACTGTCGAGTGCCATTAAAGAGCGCCATTTGACGCCGGCTCGCGAAATTTGGGTTCGGAAAAGGAAGAGTACATGTGCCGGGACAAGTTTAATTGTTGGTGGAAAGGGAAAAGGGCTTTTATACGAAATATAGTAAAGTTTCTTGCCTTTTTAAAGGGGGAGTGACATAAGTAATTAAAAACCGACATTTTTCAGCTATTTAAAAAAGACTTGGACTTCTGAAAAATTTCGAAGCGGGAAGTCAAGAAGAAGCGGTGCCTGCGGGAGGCTGCAGCGATCCTTGAGGAAATTTCAAGGTGCACAACCCGCGAAAGCGAATTGAACCCCCTTACAACCTTAAATACCGCCTGAAACACCCCTAATTTCGACCGTAGGGGTCTAGTAGATAGGCACAATAAAAGTCGGAAATTGCCGAGAATGGCCAACAATGGGGCGATCCCTCAGAAAGGACCGTACACCCACATAATTGGGGTAGGGCTGGGGAAATTATGCCGTTCCGCTCGGCTCCTTTATACGCTTTGGATGTTTGCCGAGACTCGTTGGCTCCGTGGCTGGTTAGGTTAAAGGGACGTGTCACGAAAGCACTCTGGTTTTTGTGGCTATGGATTCACACGGAACTTTGCCGTGATACGCAACGCAACGTGCGATGCTTGCCGCTCGCGCTGCGTGCGCGCGGAAAAATTGAAAAAAAGCGCAACTCACCTTGGAGGGCCCATTAAAGGGCCGTACATCCAAAAATCACCATTCTTAAACGATTTATGCGGAAAGAATCTCGATATAAGTATGTACAGCCTTTTCAGGTCCCAATTCGGGTCTCGGAGCGCTCTCAGGCCAACGGTATTTTCTTTGTGGTAGAGACGGTAGCGGTTCGAGAAGAGTCGACAATGACAGGTGCAGCGGGAGGGAACACCAATGAGATGATGGCCAAGGGAGAGGCTGAAAATCGACAAAATTACCAGTCCTTTGAAAGTAGCGATCAACTTCCTGAGTTTCGTAAGTTTTTTGTCTCAGTTTCAGCAGAAAAAAATGATAATTTCGAAATTTAACAATGTTAGAGCTGAATTTCACCCTTGAAACGCACCCAAAATCGACGCAGCTCCTCCGATAATCAGAATATCGATGCACCAGCCAAGGCCCAGGGCCGAGAGACCTTCGGCTGAAACGCGAAACTCGAACAGTGGCCCTCGGCTGCCATACCCGCCATCAATCCCTTGTTGTTTTTCACATTCTTCAGGACGTGCGCCGCCTCGACGATGGCCAGAATGGCGACGGCTAGCTGGATGACGGCCACGAGGATTAGACACAGCTGGAAAAACGAATATTTCTCATTTGAAGACGTCGCTAGGAGATCCAGTTTAAGCTCAGCTTAAGCCAGCTCACGCCCATTCTTAAGCCCAAGTCTAGGCGTTTACCTAAGCCGATTCCCAAGTCAATCCTGTGCGGAACCCTAAGCCTAACCCTACGCCTGAACCTAAGGCTAAGCCCAAGCCTAAGCCTAAGCCCAAGCCTAAGACTAAGCCTAACCCCAAGCTCAACATCTTCAAGCAGTTTAATTCACCCCCCTCCCCACCGCCCAACTGCTCAATACTGCTGCTCAGTCCTTTCGATCAAAATGCGCCTGTCTTTTTGAGCCTTGGCCACGGGGCGATATCAGTGTTTTTCGTGCGATGGTCCGCAGCCGTCTTTTCGACCCCCACAATTCGACACCACAGCCCTACTTCCAAATCGGCTTTACTCCCCCCCCGTCCCCCCCCTCCTCGCGCATTTCGATAAGCTGAAGCCGAACTTGAGGCACTGGCGGAGACCACGAGCCGATTAGTAATTAGTTGCAATAGGGAGTGGTGGGGGGAGGGAAAAGGGTCTATTGCACGCAGATATCAGCGGTTCACGGCAAACTTCGCACGCAAAAAATCTTGTGATCGAAGAAACAACCGTTCGGTACATCTTTCAACTCTTTTAAAGGGACTAGGAAACCAAAAAAACCATCCTGGCTTCGCCTAGGTATAGACAACGGCTACGCTTATCTCTCAATTTCGCTCACTTTCGTCCACTCTCTCGTTCACTCTCTCGCTCACTCTCTAACCCTCACTTTCTCTGACTTTCTCTCTCTCTCTCTCTCTCTCTCTCGCTCTTTTCCTTTAATAAAACTCTCCACCTTCCTAACAACAGCCTGTTTGCTCCTCCACCAGAGCAGCCCAAAGATGGCGATCGTCAGGATGTCTCCAACCACAGCCGGAACCAGGAGAGCACCAGCTTCATGCCCAACGGCGTTTGTTATGGCCTAAAGTACGAATTGCCAGTCTTGACGCTGGTGTGTCCTCTTTAAAACGCTAAAACACACCTTCCTCAGCTCATCGCAGTACGCATTAATGTCAATATCGGGGTCAATGTCCGACATGTCACTCGGATAATCGGAGCATCGGCTCGGCAACATCCCCACCGTCATACTGAACCCCTGCAAATTTCGGAGTTCGTACTTAATGTATGGAATTTGGAGCAGTTACCAAGAAAAAACATGCTATTCTTTGCTTCTGAAATCTTTCATTTCTGCAAGATTATGAATTGACCAGCGCCCAAAACCCGCTTCGCGGGCCTTGGGCGCTGGAATGCGGTTTTTTGCATGATGAATTTGACTTTCCGATCACTCGGGTCTTTCGGACCCCTCCCCTCTGCCGACCACACGGGCGAGTGCAACTGGCATGAATGAAGAAATTTGTATTTTTTCACATTATGCAAATTAGCCTGACCGGACCCCTAAAAATCAATAAAACCGGCTTTAACTTTGTAAACTTGTATTTTATCGGGATTCTGAAAACGCCATCGGAAAGAGGAGGGTCGATTCCCCCGGGTGACGGAGAATTAGGGCGTTTTGGACACGGGAAGGCCCTCAAATCGGGCCTCGAAACTGACCTCCGCACACACACACAGACAAAGATACGCGACCAAATTATATAAGGTAGGATTATCTATCTTGTATGATCACCATCGCTTAATGTTATCACTTTTCCTGGTTGTTTAAAGGGACGAGCAAGGCAAAAATCTGTGCTTTTATTGGCCCAGTTTTTGGGTTTACTAAGTACCGGAAACGACTAACAAAAGGTATCGTAATTGATTACGCCATGAAAGAGAGGCGCATGCGTTGCGTGTCGCGTCTAAACCAAAATCCATCAGCATTCCAGAGCTTTCCCGACCCTTTAAAAACTCTTATATTTTTGTGCTTACTTTCCTGATTACAATATACCACTATTCCATTCATATCTTGTCACCAACCTTAACATTGTCGACGTGGACCCAGTCTGAAAAGTTCGTTTTCTAATGAGTGACCTGATCACCGTATCCTACCGTCCCCAAATGAACCGGCCATCACGAACAGGGTAGATGCGAGTGTCAGTGCCCCCGAAGCGATCAGGCACAACTCGCCCACATGCACCACCATTTTCTACCGTAGCGTTGCGTAGGGTACTGTAGAGTTCTGGAAAAACGTGGGCTAGGTGGTTTCAACACTAAGGAAGCTCGGC